ATTTATTTTCCTCTGGAAGAAGAATACAAAATGAACAAAAACAGGCAAACAAGCAAGAAAGAATCTGCCAGTGGTCCACCAGCTCTGGTGCCTGGCCACCACCTACACCTGGAGTGGGATTAGCCAGAAGGAGAGGATTAGGCACAGGGAAGGATTGCTGCTGGTATGCAGAGGGAGGCCTGCTTCTGCCACGCCCATACAGAGAATCACAGAATCACAGAGTAATGAGGTTGGAAGAGACCTCTAAGATCAAGTCCAACCTGTGCCCTAGCACCACAATTAGACTACAGCACCAAGTGCCAAATCCAGTCTTTTTTTAAACATATCCAGAGATGGTGATCCCACCACCTCCCTAGGAAGACAATTCCAGTATTTTATTATTCTTTTAGTGAAAAATTTTTTCCTACTATCCAACCTAAACCTTCCCTGACGTAGCTTGAGACAGTGTCCTCTTGTTCTGTCAGTTGCTGCCCGGTGGAAGAGATTGACCCCCACCTGTCTACAGCCTCCCTTCAGGAAGATCCAGAACGATTAAAGCCCAGCTGGGGAATTCAATCCAGAATCACCCACAGGAATACAAAGAACAAGAACAGGATGAAAAAAATTGGGTGTCTTTCTATAAGCAAAAGTTTCACAAGCTTGGTGCCTGCACACAGTTAAACCTTTAATTAAAGAGGTCTGTCAGGTAAAGCACTGACTAAAACCAGATTTTTGTGGTTCAGCTCTTTCTACATGTTTGAAAATCCTGAGGTTTGTCTTAGTTCATCAAAGCACCCTGCAGACTGCTGGTGAAAGAGAAGTAAACAGAGTGGTGGCTGGTGAAACACATGTGACAGACATTCACTATTGTTTTCTATTCACAGCTATTTTTTGAAAAAAGTTTTATCAATACCTAAGAATTCTTTTTGAGGAAAATACTAATTTAGCTGCAGTCTAAGACAAAGAAAAAAAAAATTACCAGAAAGACAGAAAGGAATATATCTATGGATCCATGTAGAAGTGATATGTAGCAAGTCACCTTGTAGAAGTGATATGTAGCAAGTCACCTCTGCCTCCTGCGCCTTCAGGCATGATTGTCTTGCTAGAAATTCAAGCCCCACATCTGTGGGAAATGCTACTCCCATTCTGCAGTGCATCGCCTCCATTTTCTACCAAGTCCTCTGAAAGTGAATTGTGTACAATGGTGTTACTACAGTTGGCAGTAGAAAAGATTTTTTTGAATGTCACCAAGGGGCGTAGTCCTGAAGAAGAGTTTAATTGGATGAAATTGCTGCTAGCTGGTAGAGTGTTATAGGACCTCCAAGAACATGCAAATCTGTAGGTAAATGAAGCTGTTCCCTTGACACATCAGGATCTGTGTGCGTTTAGTACTTTAGTTTAGTATTCAGTCCTGAGCAGCCTTTATTTCCTATGAGTGAACTGGCAGCTGTGCTGACATGAGAGAATGCTTTTACTCAGAGAAGTGAGCAGTTGATGGTACAGGTCAAGCTGGATGACTCAAGACATCTCAGCAGCTCTGGAGAACAGTCCAGAGCAAGTCTCCTGGAGCAGTCAGGAGGTAGATGTTGATGGTCCAGGGAAGGGATAACAGGGCTCTCTAGACAAGGTGATTTCTTATCCTTTCTCCCCCTTTCCCATTACTAATCTGCACTGTTCCTGCAACACCCACCTCCTAATCTCACCTACAGAACACTCATCTTCAGTTGATGCCTTTTATTCAGAGAGGTGCCTGTATTTTCACTTACACCACTACAAAATTCTCTCTTAATTCTCAGGCTTCAATGCATCCCCCAGCCACTTGCACACATCTGACAAGTTTTTGGGAAAAGGTTCCTAAAGGGCAGGATAACAGATATGCTGTCAAGCAAAGGATTGGGACCAAAAAACTTTCTATTGCTGCAGCCATTAGGAAAAGGGACACAGTAGCTGTTGACATTTGGGATAAAATGTGAACTACTGGTGTTGCTCTCAGATACTATATGCATGACTCGCTATGAGTGGAAATAGGAAGTCCATAATGAAACAATAAGCTGTCTCTGAATGCCTGTTTACTGTTTAATGTGTTTACATTTGAACTCTATGACCTCAAGGGTCTTTTCCAGACTAGGTAATCCTATAATTCTTTTCTGTGATTCTGTGAATGCAATATTGAATCAAAAAGTGCAAACAAAAATAAGGTGAATTAATTCTGATGGCTCTCAGGACCTCTTTTCAGTATACATGAAATATGCAAGCAAAATAAAATTTCTGGGTAATGTCAAAAAAATAAACAAATAAGGCCTATAAAACAAAGTAAGTCACTCAAAACATATTGAAGGAGCATACACATTTAAAATATTAAAAGATTGTATAGGAAATTGAGGACCAGATGGACCAGTAAGATATTCATTTGCTGAAATATATCACACAGTTCTGTACTTATTCTTCTACTAGGAAGGGAAAAATTATCAATTTCCTGGAACATCTATACATATAACGTTATTTAGTGTACACACAACGTTGCTCTTCCCACTATGTCATATTAGAAATCCTAATATGAACAAAATGCCAGCACTTTTATTGAGAGGCACTGGGAGGTGCTTCTAATCCTAAATTGCATAGACATCACTTTAATTTATGTAGGAGAAATGTCAAGTGTCCATGAGAGTGGGCCTCCTGGGAAGCATTCAGAAATGTAGATGCAAGGCCCATGCCTGTTCCTATTTAACCACATACACCCTTAGAAGCAGAGACTTGAAACTGAGTTAGGGGTATTCTTTTGATTGTCAGCTTTTTTCCAGGCATGTATTTCAGAACTGGCTCCATTTTCAGTCTCAGCTTACACTGAGTGTCTGTCCCCTAAGGTAGTTTCATCAGGATCTGGATACAGGCTCTGTAAAGAACATTGTAAAGCAGACATCCCTGTAAGTATCGCTGTAATAAGTCCCAACAATGTTTCCAACTATGCTCAGGTGCCTGAATATTTATATCAGACTCTTCCTCACTGACCCCAAGCACCTCCTGTGCAAGTAAACAGCAAAAGAGATCCACATTTCCATCTTACCTCCTGCCTCCCCACCCCTACAAGCACGTGTTCTTACACCGACTTTCTTCTTTTCTCTGAGGGGATGGTGTACTGGGGGGAAGCACAAATAAAAAGCCATGGTCTTTAAATTTGATTTGAAGGTGGCAAGTTTTGTGGTGGTTTTGATCTCCTCTAGGCATTCCATAATCGTGGGCCAAGTTGCCTAGAGATCTTTGTCTCCCACACTTCCAAGTCTCTCTGTTGTGGCTGACAGATCCATTGTTTTGGAAGCATGTAGCTGTCATGGGAGGTCATGATCTCCCAGGCGTGAGGCAGTCCCTTCCCTACTTTGGGTTGGGCTTTGAAGATAAAAATGGTAAATTTGAACTTGGGTGCGAGTGTGTTTGATCGAAAGCCTCCCCTTGCACTCCTTCAAAGCTTGTGCCAGCAGACAGTGGACACTGCAACAGCAAACCTCAGATTACAGTAGTTTTTATTAAATATTATGATTTAATAGCTGAAGCCATCTGGGTCAGGGCCCACAGTGCCTGGGATAATGCAGACACATAGTTAGTGGCAGTCACTTAGGCAGAGTGCTTACATTTGACCTTGTATTCCTGCCACTGTGTCCCCTCTCTTGCCACCAAAAAATGTCTGCAGTGACACTGGTGTAATGCTGACGTAGTATTGCCTTATAAATTTCATCTAAGAAAGTTCCTCGAAGTGAATCCCATATAAACACTCAAACATAGATCTAAGGTTCATGCCTGCTCCTATATGACAAAATTAAAGAGAACTCACACCGAACATGTTTATAATACACCCCTGGTGTGGATTCTGTGTCTTCCTACAGTATGTCTGTAGCATACACCATTTCAGGGCATATCACCTCCCTCTGCAGAGGGGAGAGAACACAAATATAAATACAGGCAATATTTGCTACCACTGAGATGACAGGCACACGCTCAGGTGGTCCTGAGTGAGCCCTTCCTTGTGGTTTTCTCAGGAACCAACCCCGCCGCATGGGGAGTGACTTCAATTATTAGGGTTTTTTTTCCTTCCTGCACTGATGCTCTGTCATCTAAGGGGTACCAGCAGAGTGGATTAGAACTGCCTGTCAGCTTCTCTGCCAGTGTGAGCTCACAGAATAGTCCGGGCTCACGGCGCGCTGGCCCTGCTCCTCTTGGCAGAGAGCTGAGCTCGGCTTTCTGGCAGCGCATCCCCCTGGCACACGACAGATGTGGGGCTGCCCTTGCCCTGGTGCAGCTGGGCAGCCTAACAACAGCACTGGCCCTGTGCTTGCCCAGCTTTTTCTGCTCTTACAGTGGAAGGGGAATAAAGAATATTTGTGGGAATGTATCAGCACCTATACAAAGGACTGCACAGCAAAACCACACTGGAGTAGAACAACGTAAAAAAAAACCCAAACCCAAACAACAGAACAAAACAATCCAAATTTCACAGGGTTTAGGAAAACCATCTTTAAAAGCAACAGAGTTACGTTGCTCAAAACCTGGTTAACAATGCCAGCACCCAGCATCACGCACCTGCCTGCTCCCCAGCCCGCCTCGGCAGCTCAGGCTTCAGCTGAATGAGTCAGGACTTGGGAGAGCCAGGACTTGGGAAAGGCAAGCAAATGGAAGCACTTGTACTCCAGTATGCTCTGAGACACCTGAAGGAAGCTGCAAGACAATCCCTCTGCTGACCACTCTCACACCTGAGAGTTGCTGGACCTCTGCTTTCAAAATAGACTCCCCCAATACGTACCCTCTTGGATTATGGGCCAGAGCTGGACCACATTAATGAACAAATACTGCCTAAAATGTAGATACTGCTGGAAAGGTAACCTGTTGCTGGCCTGTCAACCCAACAGGCAAATCCTGTGTGCCATACTGGGAGTGTGCAGGAGGCTGGGAATCTGCTGGAATGTGACATCACTGCCCAGTGCCTCAGTGGGCACACAGTGGCAGCTCTGCACCAGAGAGGGTTTGGAATGAGCTGGTCACTAGAATCTCTGTGTGTCCTTGAGTGTGCCCTGAACAGCAGCATACAAAGATCATATTCCCCCTCAGACAGGTAGTGGTGCTGTTGTATGAAGCCAGGCAGAGGAGAACATGGAATTATAGTGGGTAAATGCAGTAATCTCAAAGGTCAGTTGAGGTAAATTAGGTGGAAAGGAACCTTATTGGCATTGTTTGTCCCTTGTCCATAAAAAGCTTAAATTAGATAAGATTCCAACCACTACTTATTTATATGGTTTACAAAATCCAAGCAAAAAACCTTGCTGTTTAGAGATGGAAGAATTCTATGTGGTAGATGCTGTTGGTAGCTCAAGGTACTAAAGGAAGCCTTACTGAGTCAAGCAGAGCCTCCTGGGAGATGCACTTGCTAAGAATTCCAGTATTCCTAACATGGAGGTAGGTTTTGTGCTGCTTCTCCTTCCTCAAGTGCATTTCTGCAAAGAGAGAGTTGCTCTCACAAGAGTCCAGAGCAGCCTTCTGCCCTCACTGGGCAGAATTTGCAGGTCAGCATGCTTGGGATGGGGCAGCTCCACCACTAAGGAAATCTCCAACAGGGACCCAAAGTACTGAAGTACCCCAGCCATTATGGTGGAGCAGGATGCTCTGGTTTGGAGGCAGACATTGGGGGTTTAGATTTTAATTTAACAGAATGCCATAAAAAATATGATGGGAAATATAATGAAGGCATGAGACCTTAAAAAACCTAAATCATTAGCGTTTCTTGCCTAGAAGAGGGGAATAATAGTTGTGCCCAACTTTACTTGCATCACTATCTATCAGCCATGAATGGTACAACTTGTCTGCTTTTTTTCTTATTTTTCTGCTTACACACAACAGAAATACAAGTACTTGCAAGTACTGTGAGAAATAAAGAGCTGCTAGTAAAAGATGAATATCTGACAATGCTGAATTGCTCAGTGCAAAAATTGTCATTCCAGCTAGCAATGGAATAATTTTTCAATTTTTAACTAAATTAGATGAATTTTTTTCAGGTTAAAAAAAATATTGGTACTGAGTTAAGGTTTTAAAAATTAAAATTCATCCATTATTCAAGTAATTAATTACTTTGATGAGTAATACTGCCTGGAAGCTACTTCATTGCATTATCATTGTTTCGCTGTTATAATCATTCCTTCTCCTGCTGTTTTATGGCATAGGGAAATGAGGCACCTTTGGTTAGCCCAGAGTCTGGAGTTTTCCAGGTATGGGAGAAGATGAGAATTACCATCCATGATGGAAAAGGACCCTTATCACTGGGGAAGAGTGTGGGTATGAGTGGTTGAAGAGCATGGGTAACCGTGGTGGAGAAGCCAGGAAAAGAAACCTGATGCGGAGGAGACGACGCCTTTTGTGAGATCCTCATGTGTGAACAAAGGGACGGGGCAGCAGGGAGAGCTCTCAGCCACAGCTCCCTGCGACCCACTTGTTCCAGCAGGGCCTGAATTTTTTGACCTTCAGTGCCTAATTCAAATGGCAACAAAACACTTAGGCTGTGTGTTTGAGGAAGGTATTTGGGGAGCTGCTTTGAATTTTTATTTTGCCGCTTTATTTGGTTTGCCCTCTTTGGGTTTATAGCACAGGCAATACTGAAGATCACTACTGACAGGTTGCAGTGCAGAAAGTTAAAAAAATTCCTATTTTGGCACAGAGACTGGGGAAAAGGAGTCTTGGATATTATGGAAAAGGAGAAAGCAGAAAAAGATAGCTTAAATCTCAACCATGACAGCAATAAAAACTCTCTTAGTCCTTAGTTTAATGTACATTAAATGCAAAAATAATGTTCATACGTAAAGTCAAGAAAGGATGATTATTTGAGAATCAGGCTGGGACAAGAGGAAGTGAGCTCACCCAGCAAAGTACAGCAGAGAAATTCAAACAAGAAATGGAAGGGAAAAAAACCCAGAAGAAACGAAAGGTCTTTCAGAAGGACCAATATTCCGCACATCTGTTTTTTTCAGTTGTTCTGTTTTATGTATCTTTCAGGTTTTCTAAACTGATTTTTTTATAGCCAAGAGGGCTTAGGGACTTTTCATATCTAAAACTCAAGACAGACAAAATGTTTTCTCCCCTTTAAATGGAGGGGAAAGCAATGCACAGGTGCAATCATTTGTTCAAGGTCCCCCAAGGAAGTCACTGACAAAGTCAATTAATATCTTGCCCACTCAACCACAGTGCTTTGCAGCGAAGGCTCTTCCCTGTGATGTGGGCCGAATTCATTGCATGAGCCATGCCCGCAGATACTTTGAGTTTATTCCTCAAATAATGGATAAAGCACAGACAACTTATTTTTATAAGTGCTCTAAAACTTCATCCTGGCTCATAGCTTCATCTTGCACCAGTGCTCCACCATCATATGTTACATTTATGTAGATGTATGTATCACTCCATAAAATACCCTGGTGATGCAATATTTCCATTGTTAAGCTGTCAGCAAAATCTTGACCTTTGCTCCTTCCAAGACAAACTTTCCTGTCAATCACTATCTGGTTATACATGGATATGACATTAGACCTGCAAATAACAATCTCGCTGATGGACAGCTCGTCTGCCACGACTCTCTCTTTAAATTGCCCAGAGTTTAAAGCCTGAGCAGCCAACCAACCACACTTGCCTCTAACCTGAGAGCTATGATTGAAAAAATACAAGTAATAGCCACACAGATGCTAATTTTCCCAAAGAAAACAAGCAAGTTGGAGAGTTGTAAGCATCTGAGGCTACACCTGAAAAGTAGAGGAAGCAGAAAATATGCAAAAAAGCAGCAGATGATTTGGTAGACCTTTTTTGCCCCCCTCCTAAGGGGGTTGATATTTAAATTGGGGAGATTTTCAGCACACCACTTTTAGCAGCTACCAGTTGGGGGAGCGTGGGGGAGAAGTGAAACAAACAGTAAAACACAGATTTAAAAGTAGCTGATTTCTAAACCAATTGAGTCAGTGACAAAAATCAGAGTCATCTGAGAGGCACTGCAACTCCCATCAGCTTGGTGCAGTGACTCTGTAGATCTCACACCTTCTTTGTCACAAAAGTGGTAGTGGGGAGGTAACACCATTGTTTCACATTGCATTTTTACCACCCAACAGCTGAGTGTGTGGTTACAGACAAATGCCTTGACTTCAGGTCACAGGGTAATTTGGGTTGAAAGGGAGAGCAAAAGTTGTCTAATCCAACTGCCTAGTCAGATCAGGCTCGGCTAGGAGATCAGACCAGGTTATTTGTCCAATCAGGTATTGAAAACCTAATCATTTTGTTTGCAAATTATCTCAAGTACTAGAGTACTTCCATGGAGTATGGCTTCCAAAGACTCTGCCACTGCTACCTTTTATCAAACAGGAGCACCAGAAATTACTGTGAGAGGAGGAAAAAAAGATTTGTTCATCAGGATAAATTAGAGAGGATATGCTTGTCCGAGCCAATCACCCTAGCTTCCAAACAGAACACATTTTGTGTCATTTTGTTCATTCTGTTGCCAGAAGGGCATCAAAAAGCTTATCTATTTCTATAGACATAATATAGACTATACTGTTCATGTGCTCATTCCAACCAGAAAAGCTTGAGATAACTAGCCAGCAATCATTCAGGCTTATCGCTTTCCTTTAGAAGCTCCAGAAAAGCAAAGCCTTGTGGAAGTGCAGAACAACAGGGGTCTGTGCAGCAGAATCTGTTCATACCACAGTTCCCCAAAACTCACCCACCTCCTGGCAGCTCCTGCCCAGCCAAAATATTCTGCCCTCTCCCACACACCAGATACAGGCAAATGTAGAAGAGAGAAGGCTATTGCTGCCATTTAGTGCACTGAAAGGGCTTTGGAGAAGAGCACTAAACATCAGAGGTGAGCAGAATGCCTTGCTGCTGGCACCTATGGGAGGTTCTCAGCACCACTCAGTTTAACTCGTGCCCTGGCCAACAGGATTCCATGGAGAATAACCCTCAAAAGGCACTCTATGGAGGAAAAGGCCCATGTCAGATGCTGAATGATGCAGCAGCACTTATTAAAGCACCCTATCAGGCACTCACATCAATATAATTTACATGTGCCAAGACCATTTAACCTCACAGCTTCCTTTGAAGTGCTGAGGATTTCCTTCAGGTGCTCTGGGATTAGGAAGTGGATTATCTCCTGAGAGGCCACAGTGTAGCTTTCCCTTCTGTTCTTGCACTGTCTCTCTCACATGTACTCCCTGAGCTCTAACTGCAGCCCATGCTCCAAATCCAGGGAAAGAGAAAACTTTGGATAGCAGTACATGGCTTGCTGATTTGCTTTCCTCCCACTTCTGCCAGCTTTGCAAAGGTAAATGGTAATTTCTGTGTTAATGTGAATTCTCTAGGTATAGGGCAGAGACAGCACTCCTCAGCTTTATGTAGAAAGAATGAATGTCCTTGGGCTCTCAGAAGAATGAAGGATTTGGGTGCAGGGGAGGGCTAAAGTTAAACCATCCACCTCCTTGCACTGCAGAACTTGCTGAGCACAAGGACATCACTGCCCATGGTCAAAATCTGGAGTACAATGACTGAGTATCCTCTCAAGTTTTGACTCAATACACACTTTGAGATGGCTTTTTGAAGCTGCTGAGAAACTGAATTTGGGGACAATAATTGTTATGTTAGTTTAGCTTTTGCTGTATAAATTACTAAAAGTTGAAAAATACTGGCTGCTCTTTGACATTACCAGACCCATTCCTGCTTCTGTGCAAAAACCATGTTCCATCAGCTACAACAGGAGCAGAATCAGATAAAGCCAGGTGGTTTGCAGGACAAGTTTTCACATACCTCCCCCAAAAGCTTAGCCACAGGGCTCCTCCAGTCACATCTTTGGCCTTTCTGCAAATCTCTTAAAAAAAATAAAGTCACATCTCAGACAAAAGAGACTCTACATTATTCATCAGGACCACACCACCAGTCCGTATGGTTTATGGATCCTCTAATTTAGGAAAAGGCAGCGAACAGGGAGAGAGCTGAAGATGGAATTGAGAAAGAAGGGAGCATTATGCTTATCTAATTCAGTAACCATAATGCTGTAGAGACACTACTGTAAAGGCAATATTTTGATGTAACATCAGAGAAGATGCACTTTTACTAAACAAAAAGTTCTGAATTAATGGAAGATGATAATTAAGAACTATACCCTGCAAGGAATCCAAAGGGGAAAAAAAAAAAAAAAGCTGAACCCACTGAATGTCATACCTGAAATATTAGAGTCAAAGTTGTGTTGTTTTTCTGGGTGTCGCTTTCAGATTTGGGAAATTACAGGCCCCATGATAAATATTTCAGGCAGTTGCTTACAATGAAAATTAATTAACCCAGCTACAACAACAGGTGTTGTATGGGGAAATGCTGGCTTTTATCATGAAGTTGTGGGCGCATGTGCTAAATGCATTCGTCATTTTCTCCTTTCTTTTATTCAGAGAATGCCCTGGGGAAAGTATTCTAGTGCCAGCATTTATAGGATATAATGAAAACCCATTAAATATGTATATGACTGCTAACAACAGTGTAGAGAAGGAGTAACTTAACTATGGTTATGTAAGGCTGCCTGTTCAGCTGGCTTTGGTGCTGGTGGTAGTTGTAGCAGTCCCATTTGAACTCTTTCACCCCGTACTCAGCTGCTGGTTTTGAGCTGAGGGGAGAACTGTTAACTTTTGTGTCACTTCATTTTCCAGTTAGCAAATGCACACAACAGGATTCAAAGCTCAGCTTGCTTTAACAGAACGAGTCCAAAATACCCCTAAGTATGAACACGGCTGTCTGTAAATAATTAGGGAAGAGAGTTCAAAGTGGAGAAAACAGCTGTTCAGAGAGCTAACACACAGCACACATGTGGGTTTAAGTGATGTTGCACTTGCTCAGAGCCTGCTCCTGGCAGCCAGGCTCAGGCACAGGCTCAAGAAATAGGGAAGGGAAGATGCTGTAGTCAGTCAGAATTGGACTCAGATGTTTGACTCTCTTTTCCTGCAGCAGTCATGCCTACACAGAAAATGCCAATGGACATATTGCAACCCCCACCCCTTCCCCCTCTCAGAGCATGGGGAAAGTTATATCAGGTTAGAGGAAAGCTTTTCCTGCTTTCCTCTAACCTGATATAACCTTCCCCGTGCTCTGAAAGTCTTGAAGAGGAGATGAAATGCAGGTAAAAGACCAGAGCAGATGAGACAGGTGAGCTGCTTTGGTAGAATGGCAAGGGGAAAACAGCACTGATTTTACTGACTCAGGCTCTCTTCTCCAGACAACTGGAACCCCATCCTTGCTTTTTTGCAAGGGATGTCTTGGACTGCCTGGGCCTGTGCAGGATTGGAAAAGGGTCAAGAGAAGCAGTTGAGCACAGGGCATCCTCTGTGCATACCAGCTCCTCACAGCCCTTGGGGAAAGGAAATCTCCCAAGTCCTACAGGAGGAAATGCATACAGCCAGCACTGGTGAGCTACAAACTCTCTGATCTCAAGTATTTCGTGGTTCCTTTCCCCTTTATGGGTTATTTCTCATTTAGGACTACAGAGCAATATAGAAA